CTGCCTTAAAAACAGAGAGGCTAAAATGCCTAGTCCTTTTCTGTCAGGAGCTTACAATTGCAAACCACAAACCAGCAGGCCATTGTCAGCAGGTACTCCTCCACCTGCTCCTACAACATCTGTTTGGCAATGGCCAAGTTCATAGAGCTCTTCCCGTTGGACTCCAGGGCCAAGTTTTTAGCTTTGGTTGAAGAAGGGAGACTCATCTCCAGAGTGTCCCTACAGGCAGCATTAGACTCTGCTGATGCTGCTACTAGGGTGATGGTCACTGGAATTGCCATGCGTAAGAGTCTTGGTTGCAAGTCTCAGGCCTCCCCTATAAGTCCAACAAACAATATAGAATTTGCCATTCGAAGAGGGATTATTCTCAGAGAACACGAAGGCTGTGTCTAGATTGGCCACTTTTTCCAGAAAAGCAGCTACTTTTCCGGAAAAACTTGCCAGCTGTCTACACTGGCCGCTTGAATTTCCGCAAAAGCACTGACAATCTTACTTGAGATTGTCAGTGCTTTTGCGGAAATTCAAGCGGCCAGTGTAGACAGCTGGCAAGTTTTTCCGGAAAAGTAGCTGCTTTTCTGGAAAAAGTGGCCAATCTAGACACGCTTTTCCGCAAAAAGGGCTTTTGCGGAAAAGCGTCTGTGGCCAATCTAGACACGCTTTTCCGCAAAAAGGGCTTTTGCGGAAAAGCGTCCTGCCAATCTAGACGCGCCTTTCCGAAAATGCTTTTAACGGAAAAGTTTTCCGTTAAAAGCATTTCCGGAAATTCATGCCAGTGTAGTCGTAGCCGAAGAGTCTCAACAGCCTAAAAGACTGCAGGACTACCCTAGGGTCCCTGTGCCTTTCTACCCTTTCTACCCAATGTGGGCATTTCCAACCACAGCCTCAACAGTATTTCCCACAGCAGAGCTATCAAGATGGCTCTAGGAAGAGAAACTGAAGTGGCAGAAAGAAGTCACATCAGCCCTCGGGGCAAAACTCAGGCCACCTGAAGCCCCTTCCAGGGCCAAAGCCTGCCTTTTGAAGGCACGCTTAGGGACAGCACACCACACTTGCCAGTACATCCACCCCCATTTACCTTTTCCTCCCGACTATCCCCTTTCTACCATGCATGGTCCTGTATCACTACGGAGCATTGAGTGTTCAACACGGTAGACAGGGGATACTCTATCCAATTCTTAACCACCCCCTTTCCTGTCTCTCTTCAATTCCCTCCTTTCTCACAAGGAACTCCTAATGCAGAAGGTGCAATCACTTCTACAATTGGGGAAAGTGGGGGAGGCTCCTCAGGTGCACAGCAGCAAGGAGTTTTACTCTTGGTATTTCCTAATACTGAAAGCCAAGGGGAGTCTCAGACCAGTCCTAGACCTGTGAGAACTCAACAAATCCATAGAGAAATCCAAGTTCTGCATGGCCTCCATTAGCCTGTCATTGGATCTGGCAGACTGGTATGCTACCCACAACTTAAAGGACATGTATTTTCATATAGTGATTGTTCAGCCACACAGGAAATTCTAAATTTGTGGTGAGTGGCACCCTCTAGTTCACAGTACTTCTCTTCGGTCTATCAGCAACTCCCTGTGTATTCATCAAATGCATGACAGTGGTAGCAGTTTTCTTTTGCAGACATCACATACAAGTGTTCCCGTACCTTGACAACTGGCTGATCAAAGCTTGCTCCAAGCTCATCAGCCAGTGGCTTGCCTTGCATTTATCAGGACCATCTTCAATGATATAATTCTTCTTGTGAACAAAGCAAAGTGCACGCTGTTGCTATGCTAGTTCTTAGAATAGAGTTTATAGGAGCAGTCCTGGACGAAGTGCACGCTGTTGCTAGTTCTGAGAATAGAGTTTATAGGAGCAGTCCTGGACTCAACACATGCCACACTCAAGGTTCAAGCTCCTATCTGATCTCATTGAAAGTCTCTAACAGTTCCTGACTACTACAGTGAGGAACTGCTTTGAGATACCCGGCCACATGTCTGCCTGTGTGTCTGTGGTGTGACATGCCAGGCTCAGACTCAGACTGATGCCAGCCACAGCTGCAGTGGTCTATCGCCCTACCAGGAATGCTTTAGACATGATAGTGACTCTGCCTCACCCAGTTCTTGATTCCCTGACCTGTTGGTTAGACCCACAGACAATCTGCTTAGGGGTTCCCTTTGTGACACCACAAAATGGTGGTTACGGATGCCTCAAAATTGGGATGGGGCACCCGTCTGGAGGACCTCAAAACTAAGGGTCTTTGGTCTCTAGCTGATCTAATGGTACACATCAATGTCATGGAGCTAAGGGCAGTTTGGCTAGCTTGTTAGGCTTTCAAGTCATACCTGTCAGGACATTGTGGGTGTGTCTAAACTACATGGCTCCGTCGATGGAGCCATGTAGATTAGGCTGATAGGCAGAGGGAAATGAAGCCGCGATTTAAATAATCGCAGCTTCATTTAAATTTAAATGGCTGCCGCACTCTGCCGACCAACTGATGATCAGCTGTTTGTCGGCAGATGGGGCAGTCTGGACGCGCCGCTGTCAACAAGGAAGCCTTTGTTGACCGGCGCAGGTATGCCTCGTGAAATAGTTTGCCGATTTCTAAAGGGCCTGAACAGATTCTACCCTCACATTCACCAACCAGTCCTTCCCTGGCACCTTAACTTAGTTCTATCCAATCTCATGGGGCCCCCATTCGAAACTTTGGCCACTTTCTACCTGCTCTACCTTTCTTATTCAGTGTTTTTCTGCTAGAAAGATATCTGAGCTGAGGGCCCTCATAATACAATCTTCTAGAAGGACAAGGTGCAACTCTGCCCGCATCCAGCCTTCTTGCCAAAGGTGGTCTCCAGTTTCCATATGAGTCAAGACATCTTTCTTTCTAGGTGTTTTACCCTAAACTGCACTCTAGTGCTGGAGAACAGGTTCTCCATTCCTTTGATATGGATAGAACACTGGCTTTTTGCCTTGACAGAACAAGTCTATTCAGGAAGTCACCTCAGTTCTTTGTGGTAGTGGCAGACAGATTGAAGGACAAACCTGTATCATCTCAATGCATCTCTTCATGGATAGTATCCTGTATCCCAGAATGCTATGGCCTCATGGATATGCCTCCGCTCCTGGTCATGGTACACTCTACCATTGACCAGGCCTCCACAGGGTTCCTCACCCGATGCCCACTCAGAAGATCTGTAGGGCTGCAACCTGGTCCCCAATACATACCTTTGCTGAGCACTACACAATTACACAGTAGTGGAGATCTGATGCAGCCTTTGGGCAGTCAGTGCAGAACTCTGACCCCACCTCTTAGACTTGAGCTTGTGAGTAACCAGATTGGAATGCACATGAACAAGCACTCAAAGAAGAAAAAATGGTTACTTAACCTTTTGGAACGATAGTTCTTTGAGATGTGTTGTTTATGTCAATTTCAATACCCACCCTCCTTCCCCTCTGTTGGAGTAGCTAACATGAAGGAACTGAAGAGGGTGGGGTTGACAGGGCCCTAAATTGGGCGCGCTATGGGCACCACTCCAGGGGGTACTCAGGCTGACCCCATAGCTAGCTTCTAGGGGTAAAATCTTCCAGCTACTGGGTATGCATGTACACACACCTGATTGGAATCAACCACAAACAACACCTTTCAAAGAACAACAGATACAAAAGATGAATAACCATTTTTTACTTAAATTTCTTCTTTATCTTCTACTCTAGCTGTGAAACTAAGAAATGAAGTTCAACACATAACATTCTAACTACAAGAATAACATTTCCTTGTAATTTTTATATCAGAATGTAAAATGATGCAATATTAATATAAATACTGTGACTCTTGAGTTAATAATTGACAGGTGGAACTGACATATGGCACTTTTTATTCCATTTCTCTAGTAAAAAGCCAGAGCAAAAAAAATGTGAAGGCAGCAAAACCAAATCCAAGAAGTAAGGTTTCTCTGTAAGTACAGTTGTAAATGATGGTCATACTGTGCCTTTCACATTTAATAAGATCCTGTGTGATATTTTCTGAGAGACACAGGTATAAAAATTAACTTTTCCCTTTCATGCAAACTGGCCGATGGGAGCTGAGAGATTTTACTGGGGGTGGAGGCAGTGCGTACCAAGCCTCCCCCCGCAGTGCAGAGAGCCACATTCATTTTCATTCATCAAGAAGAGCTTGAAGAATTCCAAAACCTGTAGTGTTCTGTATTTCTAAAAATGTGATGATTCCTTAAGTGTAATCTGTGCTGAATCACTAATGTCAACAAATCTCACTGTAATGACATCTGTTGTTGATGACACGTCTGGAATGCAATCTAGAATTATGGCACAGTATTTTGCCAAAGAAACTGATGAACAGTTTTGTCTCTCACTTTACCACTCCTTAGCATGATCAGTTCATTTTGAATTCTTGGTCCCAAATTGTGGCAATGTATTTATTTAATTTTCACTTACACTCCAGAGATATTACTGTGTCAGATTTTCCTAGCAGTTGAATAAGATCCCCAAAAATTGCCATTTTGGGGTTTGTATATATTGTCAACGTTTCCTCTAAAACAAGTTTTTTGTCAGAGTGGGTGTGAGGAGTTGGTGCACTCAGCATTGGGGGGTTGTCTGGGGCTGGGCTCCACTTGGCAAGGAGTACACAGGGGACTCCCTGTCCATGCTGATGATGAATGTTGTGCTGCATGTCACACTCGTTCTGCAGCAGCCGCAGTCTGCATGCAGTCACTGAGTTGGAGCAGAACAGATGGATGCTCTGGCAGGCTGGCTGCTGTTGAAATGATTCAGTCTCTCAGTACATATGCAGACAGCTAGCACCTGCACCTACACCCTCCCTCCATGGTGGGGCTGAGCTCTGTGCTGGGAGGGGCTGGGACATTCGGGGGGAGGACCAGAGCTAGCCTTCACTTTGCAGGTGTGGGCAGGGGTTTGGTGTAGAAGAAGAACTCTGGCAGAAGAGGTAGATATGATAAAGGAAAGAATATGATAATGTTATTGTGGTCAGCACTGCAACCTGGCTGCTGGCCCTACTCTCACTGAATTAGAGGAGTTGGGGAGAGACTGAGACTCACAGGTGAATCTGTCACTCCCCTTATCCAGGCCCCCCTTCTTCCCAGAGACCCATCACCAGCACGGAGAACCCTGAATGCACCATGCTGGCACATTTAGCTTCCCACTCTTACCTACTTGATTGGAATACAGTCCCTCCCATCCAGCAGAGGAATGGTCCCCCCCAAATGCTGTGGTGCCCTATGCAGCACATATTGGTAAGAGCACCCCCTTACCTTGAGTGTCCTATTCAAATAGAATGGACATTGCCTGTGTTAGATAGCAAATTCTACAGAAGCAACATTCATTCTTCAGAGTTGATTGAAAGGGGTCCTTCCTTGGTAGGTCAAAGAAAGTCTATCAGAGAGCAGAGTCCCAAAGAGATTTGGATTGGAATAAGAATATTTATAGTTAATAGTTCTTATTAACACAGACATTATATATGTGAACAGTTAAGCTGGTGGTGTGAAACTATCTTAACACAGACATTATATATGTGAACAGTTAAACTTGCATGATTTGTAATTTGGTCTGTTCATTATTTTCTTTCTATTTGGGATGAGTTGTGGGGTATCGCTATTTTAGGCCACTTAAAGATAATGGGGGAAGCAAAGATCTGGAAGGTGAGTGAGTTGTTGGGAGCTGCGCTAAACTTTATTATAGGCTGAGTTAAAACCTTGTTCAAGCTGATAAGTAAACTTGTTCTTTGATAGAGCTACTTGTAAGACACGCCCAAGACGCTTCACTCAAAACAAGACCTAAAAGAGTCTGCGCAAAAGCTAGCACCATGTAGGTTAGGAGATGCACTGGGTATTGTATATTATCCAGATATTTGTATGGTGGGGATCAGAGTGAACACACATACATTAGGGACTCACAAGAATACACACAGGCTGTGTCTAGACTGGCAAGTTTTTCCGCAAAATCATCTGTTTTTGCGGAAAAACTTGCCAGCTGTCTACACTGGCCCTTTTCCGGAAATACTATGCTGCTCCTGTTCGGGCAAAAGTCTTTTTCCGAAAGACTTTTGCTAAAAAGGGCCAGTGTAGACAGCACAGTACTGTTTTCCGCAAAAAAGCCCCGATCGCGAAAATGGCGATCAGGGCTTTTTTGCGGAAAACCGCGTCTAGATTGGCCACGGACACTTTTCCGCAAAAAGTGCTTTTGCAGAAAAGCATCCTGCCAATCTAGACGTGCTTTTCCAAAAATGCTTTTAACGGAAAAGTTTTCCGTTAAAAGCATTTTCGGAAAATCATGCCAGTGTAGACATAGCCACAGAGAGAGACAGAGGCAAAAAGCAAGAAAACCAAGTAGTAGCTTGAGCGTCTAGATTGGCCACGGACACTTTTCCGCAAAAAGTGCTTTTGCAGAAAAGCATCCTGCCAATCTAGACGTGCTTTTCCAAAAATGCTTTTAACGGAAAAGTTTTCCGTTAAAAGCATTTTCGGAAAATCATGCCAGTGTAGACATAGCCACAGAGAGAGACAGAGGCAAAAAGCAAGAAAACCAAGTAGTAGCTTGAAGCAAAATGCAGGACAATGTAGCACTTTAAAGACTAACAAGATGGTTTATTAGATGATGAGCTTTCGTGGGCCAGACCCACTTCCTCAGATCTTGTGAGCATAGTGTGGCCATGGAAGAGGCAAGAGAGACAGCTTTTGGTTCTTTTGTCTGAAGAGTCTTGGCACTGCTAAGCTAAGAAATAGTTTCTTATGATTTTGGTTCCCCCTGTGTTTAAGGAGCAGGGCTTTGTGCATCAACTATATAGAGAGTTTGAGAGAGTTTGTCTGTTTGTTCAAGAACTCCTAAACAGTAAGATCTAGGACCACTACATTTGGTATACAGCTTCCTCTTATAATTTAAAACAACATAACAGTTTGGTTGTGCCAGGAACATGGGATGTGTCTGGAATGGGATAGCTTCTCAGAAAACCATACAGAAAAGAGAGAGAATCACCAGGCAGGTGAAAGGGGATAGCTGGGAGTGTGCTCCCCCACATCCGGCACTGCATCAGCCCTGAGCTCTCACCCACCAGGCATCCTTTAGGAAATCTGTCCCCTACATTTCTACAGGGACATCTCTGGATATTCCCCTTCATCAGGGAGTGAGGAGAAAGTCAACAGTTTGCTGCTTTTCTCACTTTGGCTAGAGTGTCCGGGGGACAGACAAACTCGGACCTGCCCCTGGAGGACATGCATTCCTTCCCCAGCTATGCCCGCTGCAGCTGCAGCAGCCATAGAGAGGAACTTCTCATCTGACCCCAACCTGTTACAGTGAGAGAAGGCCTTGGTTGTCCTGTCTCCCTGGAACAGCCTGCATATTGATCCCCTCGTCCCCAACCCAACCCCACTTCAGAGCAATGAGTAAAATTAAGCATGTACATTTTCATTTTATTTTCCAAAAAAAATGAAAATTAAGTGAATTAAGGACCTGAGCAACACAGGGTACATCTTTTAGTTCCTTATAAATAAACAAGACAGCATTACACACTATACTAACACTCTATTTCTGTGTCCAGCTGGAGCATCCTCAGGGTTCCAAAATTTAACTGGCTGCTTTGGGCACAAAAGAGCAATAATACTGGGAAATGTATCTGTTCACCTATAGAGGAGGTTTTGTATATTTTTAGTGATGAATAACAACTGTATAGCACAAACTCTTAGACAAAAATGGATGGATTCTTGACTCTGTTAAACCAGATTTATAGTGGAACCCTGCTGTAGTAAGTCAAATTATATTGGTGTAAAACTTGTGTAACAGAGTGAAGAATAGGATCTCATGGGACACATCCTTTGTGCAGTGGTTGCTATGAATCACCTTACCACTTCCCTGATTTTGAAGCCATTGGTGGATGAAATTCCCCCTAGTTTAACTTTAGGGCAGCTGCAATGGTCCCATAGAAGTCTTCAAAGGAAGTTGAGCTTGTTCAGGACCTCAAAGGGTATGTCTCGAATGGTTAACTGATGACATCTGCTTAAAGCTTTAAGGACAGGTAATATTATGTAAATCAAGAGTTACATGCATTCAGATTAACTTGTTAAATCCACACAGGATCAACTAAAGAAAAAAAAAGAAACCTTCCTGCACTATTAGAAATGTACCAATGTTGATTGAATTATACCTTTATTACTAAAGAAATGCTTTTGCCATCTGGTAACTAGAGTGTCTAGGACTCTGCCTATTACTCTTTCACAGCATGGTGACAACGTCATAATGAAATCGGAAATTCATAGAAGCATAAACACAGCTGTTTATGCCTATAAAATAAGTGGTTTACAAGAAAAGACAATCAGTAGTATTGAGTGTTTTGTCAATTACATTAACAGAAAATACAAAATGATGCTTATTTGACAAGACCATTTTCAAGACAAATTTGCATAATACTAGTCTTCTTGTACTATGAAAGGCAATGAGACATCATAAAAAGATGTATCCATTATTCATGAATTTAAATAATCTGACTTGCATGGAAAAATAAGGCTGAGCCAGATTTTATATTTGTAGACTTGTCTTCTTCCTAAAAAAATTAGTCAATTATTGTTGATGATGTTTTAACTAATTCTGTTGCTTGAATTGTTGATATTCCATTTAATAGGATCTTGCAGTTAGTAAATTAAATATTTTCTTATTAAATCCTATGTAATTGACAACTGATTATGAGTCAGGACTCAAACAGTAAACATCTATGACAGAATCATCACATGAGATGGGCAGATTAGGCATAAATGTAAATGATGAGAAGTTAGATTTGTTGCAATACACGTGACTTCTCCATATGCTTGCGTACACTAAAGAGCAATATCAACAGTCTGCTCACCAAGGGTACGTCTAGACTACATGGCTCCGTCGACGGAGCCATGTAGTTTTAGACACACCCCAAGTCCATGTTGATGCCATCAGATCATTAAAAAGAGAAGTTGTTTGGCCAGAAATAAGGTACATTTTCTCATCAGTCTAGGTTTACTTCAGTCTTGACTTATTTATCTCAGGGTTGACATGGTGAGGGGAATGACTAGAATGATGACAGGAAGAAGCACAGATCAGGCATGTTCATTTCCTTTTACCTCATAGATATGTGCAACCTGATATGAACTTTACTTCCCCTATCATTACAAATTTGGATTCTACTGTCCCATCTTGGGAGAATAGATCCAGCAGGACTTACAGAAGGACTTTAGCTCTAGTTGGGAGGAGCAAGTTCCAAAATAGAGAGCCACTCACCAGAAAGCTCCTGTCATCACCCTCTGCCTATATAAATGAAGGAGATGTTGGCATAGGCACCTCAGCTGATATCAGTGTCCAGAGTACCACACAAGAAGACAATCTGTAAGACAGTCCCTAAGACCAAACCCTTCAGAGCAGAAGTTTACAAAATAAACTATGGACCACTGGTAGTGGAAGTTTTCTTCTAATCCACATCAGTCAGTATATACCCTGAAGCATGAGGGTTTATATTTCTCACTTTTTTATCCCTTTCTAAAGTAAATGCAGATGTTCTTATGATACATAGAAATATATACTCCTTTAAAACTTGCTAAGCTCTTGGTTTCAATTTTATAGTGTGGCAATGAGTTCCACAGGTGAAATAAGGACTGAGTAAAAGAAGTTCTTTTAATAAGTTGTAATTATTACCTTTCAGTTTAGTTGAGACTGAGATTATCATCCCTGCCTAAGAGATTTAGATGCCCAATTCCTATTAAAATTATTTGAAAATCCCACCAGAAGTCCCCTAGTTCTTTTTTTTGAAAGATTATCCACGTGGATTCCATTTCTGATGCACATTAACTTCATGAAAGCAAGACTGGATTATTTTGGCTGTCCATGTATATTGGAACCATTCACTTTGTTGAATACTCACCAGGCTATGTTTGGATCCAAGTACTGGATCTGCAAAAGTGACAAGGAGTCCTGTGGCACCTTATAGACTGACTAAGATGTATTGGAGCATAAGCTTTCGTGGGCAAAGACCCACTTTGTCAGATGCATGTCACTTGCTACTTACTACTGACAAGGCTCACTCCTTGGCCATAAACTCTCTGTTTGGTATTTTTAGAGAATGAGACCTGCTGTTCTGAGCTCCCAAAACCAGTGGTAATTGCTCAAGATCCACCAATAGCTTTAGCATCTACCCCTCAGAGGTCTGAACTCATCCTGCACATCCTCTAATGTAATGTATGCCATCAAGTGCCAGCAATGCCCCTCTGCCATGTATATTGGCCAAACTAGAGACAAAGGGCAAAGGATAAATGGGCATAAGTCAGATATCAGAAATGGTAACATACATAAACCTATAGGTCAGGGGTGGCCAACCAGTTAGGGTATGTCTACACATTAAAGTTATTTCGAAATAACTTTACTAGTGTCTACACAGCCAAACCGCTATTTTTAAATTAATTCGAAATAGCGGAGCGCTTAATTCGAATTTGATAAACCTCATTTCATGAGGAATAATGCCAAATTTGAAATATCTATTTCGAAATAAGGGCTGTGTAGACACTTATATCGAAATAGGGGGCCTCCAGCCTTCGCAGGGTGCCCTGGTGGCCCCTCCAGCCTCAACCAAGAACACTCCTCTCTCTCCCCCCCGGAGCACTTAAAGGGGTAGACTCTGGCCACAGTGCCTGTGCCAGCTCCAAGCCTGCCAGCCCAGAGCCAGCAGTCACTGCCCCGACCCAGTGGCCCCAAAACATGAGCCAG